GTGGAGCTACCGGAGGGGCGTACGGCGATAACGTCCAAGTGGCTCTTCAAAATCAAGTCGGATGCCGACGGCAAGATCGAGCGCTACAAGTCTAGGCTTGTAGCCAAGGGGTACCAGCAGAAGGAGAAGGTGGACTTCAAGGAGCTGTTTGCCCCTGTGGTGAAGCCGATGACGCTGCGAACTCTATTCGCGGGAGCCGCCATCAAAGGATGGGTAGTAAAACAAATGGACATCGTAACGGCATTCCTTAACGGCATCCTTGAGGAGGAGATTTTTATGGCACAGCCAGAGGGGTTTGATGATGGTAGTGGCAGAGTGTGGAAGCTGAAGAAGGCCCTCTATGGGCTGAAGCAGGCCCCTAGGCAATGGTACATGAAGCTGCGCGAAGTGTTGGAGGGGATCGGCTTCACTCCCTCAACGGCCGATCACTCCTTGTTCATGCTTGGCGAGGGGGAGCAGAGGAGCTTCATGGTGGTGTACGTGGACGACATCCTGATCTTCTCACCCTCTCCTGACCTTCTGAAGGAGGTGATGCTGAAGCTGCAAGACAAGTTCAAGTGCAAGTCCCTTGGGGACGTCAACTTCTACCTTGGGCTCCACATCGAACGAGACGTGGAGAAGCGGAGCATGCGAGTGCACCAACGGAAGTACCTGGAGGCGTTGGCTGCCAACTTCGGCCAGAGTGAAGGTCATATGGCTACTCCCTTTCCCTCTGGGTTCAAGTGTGTGAAGGGGCCAGAGGAGGAGAGCGTTGGAGAAGAGGAGAGGTGCCGATTTCACTCGTTGGTGGGCAGCCTCATGTATGCGGCGGTGAACACCCGATCGGACGTCGCGTTTGCTACCGGGAAGCTGGCTAGGGTTGTGCAATGCCCTAATGAGGAGCAGGTAGCAGCTGGAATGAGGGTGGCCAAGTATCTTGGCGTAACACCGACCGTTGGGCTGCAATACTCGGCGGCGGCACAAAGGCGCCAAAAGGGCGCGGATGGTGTTGAACCCGGGCGTTTGTTCCTCACCGCCTACTTGGATGCTTCATATGCATCAGAACCAGAGGACATGACAAGTGTGGGAGGCTTCATATGCTGTGTTGGTGGAGGCCCAACTGCTTGGGAGAGCAAGAAGCAGGTTGACCAAGCTTTGAGCTCGGTGGAGTCCGAGTACATGGCACTCTTCCGTGCCGTACGGGAGATTGTGTGGCAGCGGCGTTTGTTGGCTGAATTGGGGGAGGAGCAGTAAGGACCTACCCCACTCTACTGTGATAGCCAGGGTGCCATTGCTCTTGCTAAGAACCCTATGTTGCATGGACTCAAGAAGCACATGAGGGTGAAGTGGCATTGGACGAGGAGCATGGTAGCCGCGGGTGAAGTTGAGTTGCACAACGTGAAGACCACGGGGCAGCCGGCTGACATGATGACCAAGAGGCTGGTGGAGCAGCAGCATTGGAAGTGTTGCAAGCTGGCTGGGATGGCTCTGAACTGAGAGAGCAACATATCCTAAGGCCAACAATCCGAGGGGGAGTTTGTTGGTGCAACCCTACGGTTTGCACTCGGCTTGTTGTCCGTGTGCGTGCATGTGTCTGTGTATGGAATGGTATGAGGGCATGGGATAATATATATTTCATGCTTATAATTGTGTGTGAATGTCGAGTCATGATGTCGAGTGTGTGTGTCGAGTCAATAGCGAGTTATCGCTAGACGCGTGTTACGCGGTCGTTTATGTCTCGCGCGCGGTTTCTATTTCGTCGTGCGCGGTTTCTATTTTGTCCTGTGTCGAACGTTCGGCATGTCGCAGGTGTGTGCAGCAGACCCATAAAAAACTCAAGGATGAGTTTGTGATGAAGAGCTCAATCCTTGGTGTCAAGCCTCAAGTGATTTCTTAGCTCGCCAAAAGGGTACACCTCAAAATATTGAAGAGAGTTACATTACTTTGTGTAGTGTAACATTTCACTTGGTGTAGGCCCTGGTGAAGGGTAGTTTCGAGACCCTTCGTGGTTGAGGACAGTGTGGCACTGTTCCACATCACTGTACCTCGGCTCTTGGGGTTCGTAGGAGCTGGGAGTCATTCCCAACTCGTAACTCTTCCTAACTCTTCCTATTGTGTGTTCTAAGACTATATTGGCTGCCATTGTGCTGTTCGTTCAAACCGACAGTGTGTCGTCAATACTTGGTGAAATCGTGCAATCTAAATTGCCTATTGTAGGCGACGTTAAGACGCTCCAGATCCAAGTTGAATCAGGTCATTTAAAGGTGTGACCAGAACGTTATGAACGTTTGAAGCCGCTGTGCAGAAATCCGGCTGTGTACTCTATCTTTCGTTTTAGGCACATTGGAGCCTATTGTGACTACAACACTCAGCCACCCCATTTTGCTGCGGAGAGGCCGGAAGTGTGAATGTCTAGCGAATGCCCTCCTCACGACAAAAGCTCTGTAGCAGGTCAGAGGAAAACTCTCCACCTCTGTCAGAGTGTAGACGTAGGACGGGAAACTCCGTCACAAACCACTCGCGAAGCTGGAGACGAGCAGTGCGGATCCAAGGGATAAAAACATCAGGGACCTCACCCTTGGTGAGCAAGGGGAAGACTGCCAGTAGTCGTCAACAACCAGGAGGAAGTACCGCTCGCGGTCCGACCTACGGACGCGGGCTGGGCCCCACACGTCCATGTGCAGGGTCTGCAGGGGAGCTGTCGTCGGAGGGAACGAGGAGGAGTGAGGAGCAGCGCACTGCCGCCCCTCGACTCAGGGAAGGCAGGGAGGGGCAGGGGAGTTTGGAAGAGGAGGCAGAGTCTTTGGAAGGCCAGAGACCAGGAGACGGCGGTGCATGGCCCGAAGGTGATGCATCGAGGGGTGACCAAGACGGTGGTGCGAAAGAAGGGTCCGGTGCGACAGAGCCCAACACGAGCAGGAGGCAGCTAGTTGACTAGGCGCGGACGCAGACGCAGCTACCAGGGGGGACGCAGTAGTCACTGTGTACAGGCTCGAGCCAGGCGCACGAGTGAACGTGGCTAGGTGTCGACCAGTCCGGGAGCAAGTGCAGTGGGTCACCCGCTGACCTCCAGGAGGGAACTGGTCAGCCCACACACCTTGGAGATCAGCGCCACTCACCAAGTTAGTAGAGAACGAGGGGAGGTGGAGACGTGATAGTGAGCCAGACGGGACTGCCGGACACGATAGAACCGTGGAAGAGTGCGCAAGGACTGGGCCCCCAGAGGGGTCTGCCAGGGAGACCGCAACCGGCCGACTGAGTGGCGTGAGAGTGGTGCAGTCGCGAAAGAAGGAGCGGGAAGCACCTGAGTCAAGTGTGAAGGTTTGCAAGGCCTCAGCGGGCACAGTACCTGAGAGAGCAAACTCACCAGTACCTGGAGCAGCTGACTCACTAGCACCTGGAGCGGCATGCTCACTAGCACCAAGAGCAGCAGCCCCAATGCCCGGGTCGGGCGGAACACACAGGTAACAGTCACCCTCAGCACTAATAGTCACAGCATACATGGCAGCAAGGATAGCATCATAGTCAAGAGCAAAGATATCAACACTAGACTTAAGCAGATCAGCCCAGCGAGGGAGCTCAGTGGCGTCAGGAAACTGTGTGCGCCAGGCGTCAGTCAGTCGACTGAAACAGCGCTGCGTCGCGTGTGGCAGCCTGCACGTCTCTCCACTGCGGTCGCGGGTGCGGAGAGAGTACATGCAGGGACCAGCACCCCTAGACCTCCCACGAAGCTGCTTGGGTGATAGAGTCTTACGCGAGCGCAGCTGCTGCTGTCGCCGACCACCGCCAAAAGGCTCCACGCTGCGTGGCTCCACTCCGGTCACCACCACTGCCGCCGCCACCTCCACCACCGCTGCCGCTGCCTCCAGCACCTCCACCGCCGCCACTGACGCCCAAAATCCCGCCACCACCCCCACCTCCACCCCCACCCCCCCTGCCTCCTCCACCGCCACCACTGCCGCCACCGCCGCCCCCGCCACCACCCTTGCCCCCCTTGCCCTTGCCGCCGCCCTTGCCGCTGCTGCGCCTCCCACTAGGAGCAATCACAGCCCCGACCTCCTCGGTGCCAACGAGGTCGACAACAGAAGCAGAGGCAACAGAGGGCAAAAGGGGAACAAGGGAACACCCCTCAAAGAACGGGGCGCAAGGGTCGCCGCGAGAAGCTCCTACAGCGACTATGCTAGTCTCAGCTGCTAGGAGGTGCTTCTTGAGGAGGTCGGCAGTGAGCATGGTGGGGCAAAGAGAGAAGAAGTGGTCCCTGACTGAGCGAAGGGAGTCAGGGAGATGGGTGACGAGGTAGATAGGGTGATGTACATTGGGGGGGGGGGGGGGGGGTCTTGGCGCAAAACCCGTGGGGAAGCACAGCGCGGTAGCGGGTGTCACTATTGCGGAGGTGAATGATGAGGTCAGCGACTGTGGGAAAGGTGGCTAGGTCAGGGAACAAGTACGGCAGCATGAGGCGGCTGAGGGCAGCAGTGGCAAGGGAGGAGTAGCGCGCGACTACCGCTCATACAAAGACTTAGCAGTCTTGTACTGGCCACAGTGCTATGGAATTCCACTACTATAGCAGCTTGATAGAGCTTGAAAGCACGATTCCAACGCACCAAAGATTGCAGGAAACGGTCCACTATAGCCAGAGATACGCACAAACATAGCAGTGATAATGACTTAGTTGATTTCTGGTTTGTGCTCTCTGGTTTTATACTAGCACGCAATACAAAATAAAAGCACACAAGAAAGTGTCGACCCGGGTCGCACGTTGAATTTCGTCGACGCGAAATTCAGGGCCTTGAATTTCGCCGAGCGAATTCTATTGACTGGAATTCCGTAGACGAGAATTTCCGCGATAGGAATTCTGTCGACCACCGACTGTAACTCCCGTGCGAATTCCGTTGACTTCGACACTTCGCTGCCGAGTTTCAAACCGAACGCGACCCGAGATCGATTTCGCCAAACTGTCCCCAATCTGTCCCCAAACTGTCCCCAATCTGTCCTGACAAGACACTTTTGGGACACTTGAATCAAAAGGTCTCCAGTTCGAAAATCGTGTGCACCATAACCAGCGCCTTAGCAGAAACTGTCCTGAATCTATCCTGAGACACTTTCAGGACAGATTTGAAGGTCACGAGTTCGAATCCCAGCGCTGACATTTTGTTGCTCATGGCAGCATTTCCTTCTAACACGCCCCCTTGCTGTCAGGAGCACGCTGGACCAGCCTGGCTGCTGCACAGCATCGGTTGAAGGCTGTCTTGTCGAGCCGCTTCGTGAAGAAGTCTGCGGGCTGCGCCGTTGTAGGGATGTGCTGCACCTCCAACTTCTTCATGCGCACCATGTCCTGTAGCCACATGTGGCGACGGTCCACATGCTTCATGCGCCCCTGCAGCCCGCCCGCCTGGCTGAGCTGCACCGCTGACATGTTGTCGACATACAGGGTGGTGGGGACACCCTTCTTGAGCAGCTGAAACTCCCACAGTAGGAACCTTAGCTTGCGCCCCTCCTTTCCTGCTTCTACCGCAGCCACAAGCTCGCTCTCGGTGGAGGAGAGCTTGGTCGAACCTTGAAGCTTCTTGGCTTGCCAAGAAACGGCAGCTCCGCCAAGCTTGAAGAGGTAGCATCCTGTGGACGAACGGTTCTCCTTGTTGCCCGCATCATCCGCATCCGCATACCCCACCAAAGTCAAGCTCTCTGGTCCTCCCGTGAACAGCAGCCCCGTGTTTGGTGAGGCAGCCCAGTAGGAGAGTGTGCGGAAGAGCTCATGCCAGTGCGCATCCGTCCTGAGGTGTGCACCTGCTGCAAGACGGCTGCACGCAAAAGAGAGGTCAGGACGGGTTGAGATGGCTGCAAACAGCACCATGCCGAGAACTGACTGGTACTCGGTCATGGTTTGGTCGGCAAATTTCCCGGCATCCTGCTTGGCAAAGCTGGCGGAGGAGAGAGGGGTGATGGGCTGCTTCTTCGGTGGCGCCCCCTTGAAGAACCGCTGCTGCACCTTCGTCACGTACGCATTCTGATGCAGGAGGAGTGTCTTGTTGGGGCGATTGCGCACAATCTGCAGCCCCAGGTAGCGTTCCACTGGCTCCACCTCACGGAGCTGAAACGCCTTGGCCAGCAGTTCCTTCAAGTCCTGCAACAGCTGCTTGTCTTCACTTGCCGCTAGCAGGTCATCCACGTAAATTAGCAGCCACACGCGCTTCCCGCTCGCCCCATCCTTGTAGTATAGGGCCTGGTCCACAAGGCTCTTCTTGTATCCCTCCACAAGGAGCACCTTCTCCAGCTCCTTATACCATAGAAGGGGACTCTGCTTGAGTCCGTAAAGGCCCTTGTGCAGGAGGCACACCTTGCTGCTGCCGTCGGTGAAGTAGGGCAGCTGCTGCATGTAGATCTTGTGGTCGATGGTGCCGTGAAGAAATGCATTCTTCACGTCAAGCTGTAGCAAATCCAGGTCCATAGCTTCTGCGATTGAGAGGAGCACGTGAACGGTGGTGTAGCTGCCAACAGGAGCATAAGTGTCGTCGTAGTCGATGCCGAAGCGCTGGCTAAAGCCCTTTGCCACGAGCCTGGCCTTATACTTCTCCACGGTGCCATCAGGTCGCAGCTTCTTCTTTAGTAGCCATTTGACGCCGACTGTTTTGCGACCTTCGGGTAGGTCGGCCAATGACCAAGTGCCTTGCTCATCAAGGCTCTCCATCTCCTCCTTCATAGCAGCCCACCATTCCTTGCCTTCAGGTCCGGTCAACGCAGCTGCCAGGTCGGGTCAACGCAGCTGCCAGGTCGAGGATGACACCTCCCCAAGCGCCTTCCTCCTCCTCATCCTCGTCCGGGTACTCCCCTTTGTCATCGCTGTCCGTATCGCAGTCGTCTTCAGCAAGGTACGCCATGTTGTACGGGTTCTCCTCATCGTCCGCATCTTGGGCCGTCAGGGCTGAGGGCTGGAACCGAACGGGTGGCACCCCCTTGTTAGGCCTGCTGGAGCGACGTGGGGGTTGTGGAATGGGCTGGATGGGAGGAGCTGTAAGTGACGGCTCATGCGCATGAGCCACTGGCGGCTGCTCATCCACTGCGACTCTTCCGTCCGCCTCAAGATCGGCCGTATCGCCTCCATCCTCAAGGGGACCATCTTCTGGTCCCACGGGCGCCGAATCAGCAACGGAGGTGGACCGAAAGGAGGAGGTGCAGTAGGTGCCTTGCTGCCCAAAGGGCCCACCGAGCGATCAAGGGGTTGCTCACCCCCTTGAACAGACGGCACCGGGACCACGAGGACGGTACGTGGTGGCGGCAGATTCTGCTCGGGGTCGTGGGGCTCAGGAAAGAGAGATGGGACTGAAGCAAAGGGTGGTGTGGGCTGGTCATTCCCATCACCCGCCTGTGCACGCCACTTCTGCCACCTTTCAGGTGACATATCCTCATAAAAACGTGCATCCCGGGTGATGACCATGCGATGTGACTCAACATCCACCACACGCCATCCCTTGCTTTCCATGCTCATGCCCAAATGCATGCCCCAACGAGTCTTGCTTGCAAGCTTCCCCTTACGCTCGTGCTCAGGAATAAGATACTGAACCATGCACCCGAACACACGGACCATGGACACATCGGGCTTGACTTTGAACACCACCAAATGAGGGGTCACACCATGGGGCAGGGTGGACTGGTGCACACGGTTTACCACCCACAAGAACTGCTGGAAAGCGAAGTGCCACCAGTGTGCTTTCACCCCCATGTGCCCCAACATCACACGCATGCCCTCGGTTACCGTACGGTTGTGGCGTTCAGCCACACCGTTCTGCTGGGGGGTCGAGGGGCAGGAAAGTTGACGCAAGATCCCTTGATGCTTCAGCAGCAGCAGGAACTCGTTCGACATAAACTCTCCTCCCCGGTCCGACCGCAGCACGTTCAGCGTCATCCCGGTCTGGTGTTCAGCTTCGGGGAGCCACTCCTTGAAGGGAGCAAGCGCGTAGCTCTTCAGCTTCAACGTCTTCCCCCAGGTGTAACGTGAGGCGTGGTCGACAAAATGAATGTAGTACATGCTTCCATCCATGGCTGGGGTCTGAAATGGACCGCACACGTTAGTATGGACCAGCCCAAGAACTTGCTCCTCTCGCTCGTTGTGCAGCGGAAATGATTCGCGAGTGAGTTTGGCTTCATGGCAGGAGGTGCTCGGCATATCCTCACCTCCTTTCTCCAGGTCCATACCGAACACGCCACCGCTCATGGCTGTCCGCTTCACCGCATCAAAGTGGACGTGTCCAAGGCGAGCGTGCCACAGGTTGGGCGTTGCCTTGGAGCCCACCACGTAAGTCTTGAGGCTGGCCGCTCCATCATTAGCTTCCGGCTTGCCTGACGCCACATCAGCAATCTCCTTCACCGTGCCGTTGCTTGCCGTTGAAGCCGCCGTGCCGTTGCATGCCACTGCAGCCCCTGTGCCGTTGCTCGCCGCTCCACCCGCCATATCGGTGCATGCCGCTGCAGCCGCCGTCCAGTTGCATGCCGCTGCAGCCGTTGCACCGTTCCTTGCTGGCCCCGGTTTCAGGTCAAGGCAGTGAAGGCGATGGCGGTATCGTGCCGTTGCAGCCACTTGACCTCCTGATGCGATGATGCGAGTGACACCTTCCTCGGTTTGCAGCTTTGCTCCCTTGTCCAAGAGCTGCCCAGGGGAGACCAGGTTGGCCTTCATTCCTGGCACAAAGAGGACATCATGTAGGGTCACACGCAAGCCGTTCGTGTCCTCCAGCAAAACCTCACCAACACCGGCAACTTCCTGCATAGAACCATCAAACCCTTTGACTGATTTCGTTGCAGATGGGTCACGGATCACCGTGAACCACTCCTTGCGGCCGATCATGTGTTGGGAGCATCCCGAGTCAAGGAACCACAGGTCCTTGTCATCGGCCAGTAGCTTTGCAGCCGAACACGCGACGGTGAGCGCCATGCCCTTCCCGTCTCCTTCTTGTTGGGGCACTTGGCAGCCATGTGCCCCTCCTCATTGCAGTTGTAGCAGCGCCCCTTGAAGGAGCCTCGCTTCTTTTCCCGCTTGCCATCCTTCTTCTTGTCCGTCTGCTCCTTCCCCCCTTTTCCTTCCTTCCCGTTGTTGACCCCCATTGTAGCCACGACCGTGTTGACAGCTCCCGAGAAAGCAGATGCATCGCTGGTGATCTGCTTGTAACTATGTTTGATGGAGAGAGTCTGCTCTTCCATCAACACCTCGCTGCACACACGTTCCACCGTCATGTCGGGGCTGGAGATGTCTAGCTTGCGGCGAAGGAACCCGTACTCTGGTGGCAGACCCTTCAGCACGTGAGCGGCAAACGTGGCCATGTGGACCTCCTGTCCAATGGTCAGCAGCTCCGCTCGGATGGTGCGGGCCCTATTGCAGTAGGATTCCGCCGTCTCATCATCTCCCTTCCTGAGTTGGGCTAGCTGGGTCTGAAGTAGGGAAGTGTGGAGGGCATCACGAACTTTATAAGTAGACAAGATATATGCCCATGCTAGCTGCCCAGCTTTCTCTTGCTGAGAGAAACCAGAGATGGACATTCGGATGGGCGGAGAAACACATCGGTTCATCACCATGAATGCAAGCATTTGGCCCTTTGCGTACTCCCTTCGTTGCAAGGGGTTGTTTGGGGCCGAGCTTGGTGCTGTCCCGTTGCAAAACTCCCACGAATCAGCACACTGGAGCTGATGTCGGATGGCGCTGACCCACGCGGTAAGGTCGTGCCTTCCCTCCAGCAGCGGCGTTACGGAGATGTGCTCCAAACTTGAATTGGCCGTAGCTCGCCCCGATCATTCCCGTGTCAATGGTCGGTGCAACGGCTCCTCCATCAATGCCCACGGCACCAGGAGCCTTGTGCTCAGCTCCTCCTTCACCGATTCCTCCTTGCTGGCCGCTCGCGGGTGCTTGCTCCGCCGCACGCTCCCGAACCATGCGTATTAGACGACCGTCCATAATGAGGTCGACCTCCTCATCACGCAAGTTAGGGTGGTGCTCACGAATGGACGCCTCCAGCTTCTGACGGGCATTCATGCCCTCGGCGCTCGTTAACCACTCCATGCACAGTCAAAACGAGCGTCAGCCACACCAACGTGGGAACGAAGTGATGGGAGGACAAAATCAAGCCGTTAGTTGGATCGACGCAGAAAACGCAGCTCTGATACCATGTAGAATTCCACTACTATAGCAGCTTGATAGAGCTTGAAAGCACGATTCCAACGCACCAAAGATTGCAGGAAACGGTCCACTATAGCCGGAGATACGCACAAACATAGCAGTGATAATGACTTAGTTGATTTCTGGTTTGTGCTCTCTGGTTTTATACTAGGACGCAATACAAAATAAAAGCACACAAGAAAGTGTCAACCCGGGTCGCACGTTGAATTTCGTCCACGCGAAATTTGGGGCCTTGAATTTCGCCGAGCGAATTTCATTGACTGGAATTCCGTAGACGAGAATTTCCGCGACAGGAATTCCGTCGACCACCGACTGTAACTCCCGTACGAATTCCGTTGACTTCGACACTTCGCTGCCGAGTTTCAAACCGATCGCGACTCGAGATCGATTTCGCCAAACTGTCCCCAATTTGTCCCCAAACTGTCCCCAATCTGTCCTGACAAGACACTTTCGGGACACTTGAATCAAAAGGTCTCCAGTTCGAAACTTATGTGCACCATAACCAGCGACTTAGCAGAAACTGTCCTGAATCTGTCCTGAGACACTTTCAGGACAGATTTGAAGGTCACAAGTTCGAATCCCAGCGCAGACATTTTGTTGCTCATGGCAGCATTTCCTTCTAACAAGTGCGCGCGCTCAGCAGACGGCAGCTGACTGCGAACAGCAAGGTGGGCAACAGCGTCATGAGTAGCCCACTGCGAACGAACTGTACTGTCAGCATCGGCAGCAGGTGCAACAGAGACGCCGGATGTGTGATCAAACAGTGAGACTCCGTCCCTAGAATCACACTGCAGATAGAGCTGCAGATCATCGACCCACACGTCAAAATCGACCGAACGACCCTCAGCATCAAAGGTAAGAACATGAGGGCTAGCCATGGCGACAGCAGTGGCATTAGCAAGAGAAGCAGTAGAAGCAGGAGCAGAAGCAGTAGCAGCAAAAGCAGCGCGGCTCAGTAGGACAGGGCGGCGCGTATCGGCAGAGCGGCGCGGCTCGGCAGAGCGCGGCTTGGCTGGGCAGCGCGGCTCGGCTGCGTGCTTGTCGGGCAGGTGCGCGGGCAGCGCGGGTAGGGGAGGTGCTCACCAGGGGCGGGTAGGGCAGGTGCCACTGGTGGTGGGTAGGGCAGGCGCTCGACAGGCGCGGGTAGTTTTTTTGTTCTTTTTTTTTTATATCATATACATTACAAGAATGTACAGACACCGACAGTCGTAACTGTTTCAGAGAGGGGAGCGCTACAATAGCTTGTACCACAGATCCCCTCTAAGGCAGCTATGGTGGTTGATGTGTCATGTTAGGGTTGTCCCAAATTGAGCTGAAGCTGATCTTCCATGTCAGCGGTGTGCCGCTGCTGCAGATACGCCACATCATCGTTGCCTCATCGGCTGCCAGGTGTGCCCAGTCATCATTCAGCGTCTGCCCCTTCCTCCACACTGCCACCTCGCGTGTCAAGCAGTACACCCTTGCGTGTGCGACAAAGTTTACCACCGCCTGCCGCGCCACCCTCCCGGCCTGAAAGGTCACATTCCTCCACGCCGCGTTACATCTCGTCAGCCACACTTGGTGCAGAAATGTTGCAATCCACGCCCCTTCCGGAAAACTTGACTTCGTGCTTCTTTGCATGAAAAGCAGATCCTCGAGATCCTGCCTCGCCAACCCCGGGTTCATTGCTGCCAGCACTCGCCTCAGCAAGCCCGCCACTGTCTCCACTGCAGGGCATCCGAGAAGGCAGTGATCTGGGGTTTCCTCTCCCGACAGTGCGGGCAGACCACTCCCATGAAAAATAGCCTCAAGCCCGCTTGCAAATTTCTACAGTGGAGCCTTAGAAAGATTTCACGTGCCCGCCATGGCGTGGCAAGCGAGTCTCTTTGCGTAATGACTTTGTCCCACTCGATTTCTCTCCTCTGTCCTTCCCATCTCCTTTGGTCTTCCTGCGTGCCAGCCGAGCTTGCTATCACCTTCCTTATTCCCCTCAGTGAGAGTAGTTCTCCTACTTCGCATGCTTCTGACAGTAGTAGCTTCGTTCGCATGTCCCCCATGGGACCCAGGAACACGCGACCCTCCGTGAACATCGGCACCCCGCTTCGTAGGCTGAACTCCATCGTGAGATCCCCTGCGTAAGGCGCGAAAAATCCGCCGTTCTCCACGGTACACAGTCTCGCCACCACTTTGTCACCTTTCGCCTCCTCAACTTGCCAGTAGGTGAAATTTTCAGTGAAATTCTCCATGGATTCCATCGCAACCTACTGCTTGCCTCGTCATCAGCTCGCGTCAACACCAATGCTTCTGTATCTCGAGGGTCCTGTTACTCCAAAGGCATCAGTTACCAAGGCGAGGAGTTTGTCTCAGAGTCACCAACGATATCATCTGGCCTGGACATGCAGCGTTTTGCCTTTAAGCACAAGAGATATAAACATTGGTGGGATTTCGTAAACGTGCTCATAACAGCTTGTTTCCCAGCCATTACCTAGCCGTCAAGCCTGGATCATCATTGCACTATGGCGAAGGGACGCAACGGCAAGAGCGGCAAGAAGACCACTGACAATGCTCTGGATAAGGACGTACCTGACTTACCTGCGAAGGAATCCGCTGACAGCGGGAAGCCTCTCTTAATTCCCGCTTCTGCGTCTGTGATTGGTCCTTTTGAAGCCCCACCGGAGCTGCCGATCGCAAGTGAGCATGACGCTGGTTCACGACAAGAGAAAGCTGACGGGGAGGAGATTGCTGAGGGAGAACCTCGTGAGGGGATTGATGCTGAAAGCGCTGAGAATGACGGTGATGATAACGCGCAGCCGGCTGAAACCCCTGATGACGAAGACGACGGTTACCTGAGTGATGACTCTGATGAGCATCTGGAGCCAGACTCGCTTTACAGTATTCTTGCTCTGAAACGCTTTTCACTAACCTTGTTGGTGCCGATTTCCAGTAAGGTAGAAGTTAAGCGTGCTGCTATCACTGTTGCTGCGATGTTGAACGATTGGCAAGAATTATTATCGCCGGACGTGCTTCAAACCACCACTTACCAGGACCTTACACCGATGTACCTCTCCCGTGAGCGCTACGGCCGTCTGCAAGTTACATTCAACCACGTTCGAGATGCAAACTTCGTTTGGAGCCAGATCATTCGTCATGAATGCATCAATGGCGATTTCATTGACCTCACCTGGCAGCACCCTGAGGATGCGCGCTTCTTGCGCGAGCGTGTGCTAAACCCCACAACAAAGGAAGTGGTGATTAAAGGCGTACCAGGAATGATGACGGCGGAACTGTTTCGTTGCTTGTTGGTGGTGTCGAAGCTGGTCAAGCGTGGTAGGAGTGCGTTTGCCAGCGGTTTTGGCTTCCATCGGACGGTGGACCCGGTGTCTGGCCTGTTCATCCCCCATGCCGATGATGAGTACCGCTGGAGGTACTTTGTGGAAGATCCGACTACGGGAAAGCGTTACTTGCTTCATTTCCCATCGTTGACCTGCGGTTTCTGCGGGGGTCAGCACATGACACGTTACCATGATCACTATGTCGCCCCGAGACAGAAAAATTTCAACAACTAGAACGTGACTGTTAAGAAGGTTCACGAGATGAATGGTATAAGTAGTGAAGCATTGTACCTGCTGATGACACCCATTTTCCCGCTCGCTCTTCCTTATTTACCTTTTACTGACAGCTACCTGCTTCTCTTCCCCCGTAGCTGCGTCCCTGAAAGCTTCAGATCTTCTAAAGTGTATCATGCGAGACCCTGCTGTTATCCTCACCTCCACCGGTGGAGCACGAGAGGAATGGGTCTGCGTTCAGTCAGCGTGCGAAAAAGCGCAAGGAAATCGGTTCAAGCAGGCATCGGCCCACATTGCATCAGCTCGTCACAAGGGGGGCATGCGGAAGGAGGGATCAGCAACCCGTGCCAGCAAGTTCTCCCAGAAGCTGCTGGCTTTTAAGAAGGAGTACATCGTGAAGCCGTTGAAGTAACGCATAGCAACACCGCCAGCTCACAACAGCAGGGAGAGATTGGTCCAGCAGGATGTGGTGTCAGTAACAGTGTAAGAGAGGTGGCTGACATCAGCGGCTCACCTGGTCTGATAGCCTTTTGTATCATTACAGCCCATGGATGCGAGGGGGCTTCTCAGTTGTTGATTAATGGATAAGGCCCACACGGTTGTTTTCTGCGAGTTCAATGGACTCGGCAGCGTGGAGAAACAATAGAAGTGCATTGAATGGATGAGGGAGAAAACAGATGTGGCAATAATCACGGACACCAGAATACAGGCAGACCATAACTTCTGGACACAAAGCAATCTGAGTGCGGTCGCAGTGTGTGGACCAGACCCCAGGGAATCGGCGGGGGGAGTTGCTATAGTGAGCTTCGTACCCGGGCTGGTGTTTGCAAGCAGCTTCACACATGAGTCTGGTAGACTCCTGGCGGTGGTTGTTCGCTGGGGAGGTCTGGAATTCTTGCTGGTGGCAGCATACATCTCGGCGCAAGCAGTCAACAGTAGCAGTTTTTACATAGACTGTCTAACGTCGTTCCTGCAGACCCTGCCGGCGCTTCCGAACATACTGGTGATGGGAGACCTCAACGTAGTCGAAGATCCGGACTTGGACCGCACTTCTCACTCTGGCTCTTCAGCGGAGAACCAGAGGCTTCTAAGCTGCTGGGGGAACACGGACTTGAGGGACGCTTTCAGGCACATAAATTCGGGCAAGAGGGAGTACACCTTTTTTGCAAAAGCAACAAGATCCAGTTCAAGGATAGATAGAGCGCTGATATCACAACCGCTGCTGTGCAAGCTGGTGGAAGCGAAACACGTGGCAATCACGAACGGGATGACAGATCACTAGAACGGGATAGGCGTGGTGATGGAATCTGCGGACGCAGTCAAGAACGGACCGGGTATCTGGAGGATGCGGGTGGAAAAGTCAAAGAAGCAGGGCGTTAGAAAAATAATCAGAAGGATCATCGAGGAATCGGCTGGGACGTCACTCGATAAGCTACTGGAGAGGCTGATCACATGATTGAAGGCATACTCAAGGGAAGAGAGAAAACGGGAGAAGGCAACCAAACTACATCTCACCAGGGAGGAAGAGCGACTCAGAACTCGGGTGTCGCGATACCCGCACTGTCAGAGGACGGGAAGAATCTTACTCCGGAAGGAGGAGCTGTTGGAGGTGTACAAAAAGAGCTATAAGGAGAAGCTGCAGGCGTGGGCAGGCATTGAAGCGGAGCTAGAAGGGGAGGTGGCGTCGGGTACCCTGTCAGCACAAATCAAAACGCGTAAGGCGAAGACCGCTATCAGAGAGGTGTCAAGGAACGGGACCACCTTTCTAGGGGTAAATGAGGTCCTCTCGGCGGCGACAGACCACTTCCGAGAGGCTTTCATCTGTGCCGGAGGAGGTGCAGCACCTGCCACGGAGGACCATCCCATGCAGCGGCAGCTGGGGGAGAAGAGCAGGAGGTCGCTAAGCGCACCTTGGACGGAAGAAGAGGTATGGAGGGCGGTAAGGGAGCTCGCCCCAGGGAAATCGCTCGGAGCGGATGGCTTGCCCAAGGAGCTTTTCGACCACAACTGGGACCTGCTGGGACCAGTACTGATGGACCTGATAAGGAGATTCACGAGGGGAGAGGAGTTGCCGCAGAACGTCACAACAGCGATGACCATCCAGCTGCACAAAAAGGGGGACAAAGGCGACTTAGGGAACCACCGGCCAATAACACTTTTAAGCACAGTATACAAGATCGTGTCAAAAGTGATGGCAAGCAGGCTCAAGAGGGTGCTGCACGAGGTCATCTCTGAGGATCAATACGGCTTTATACCGGGTCGACAGCTGGCAGACGCGGTGGCAACGGTAGCAGATGCCATAGAAGCAGGAGCTAACGGAAAAGAGGGCTGGTACCTGTTAATGATCGATTTCCAGAAAGCATTTGACTCAATCTCGCGCGACTACCTCTTCAATACGTTACAGAAGCTGGGCTTGCCGGAGGAGTTTCTGACCTGGATGGAGGGGCTGCACAGAGAGGCAGGGACGCGCCTGCACATTAATGGGTGGCGGGGGAAAATGTTGCAGTGGATAAGGGGGTGCGCCAAGGTTGTCTGCTGGCGCCGTATCTGTTCCTCTGCGCGGTCGAGCCGTTATGTCTAGAGATTAATCGGAAAAGGCTGGGAATCGGAAAGCGAGGTGTGGGTAAGCTTGCGTACCTGGGCTTTGCCGACGACACCTCACTTTTACTGCACGGGGCGGATGAGCTGGAGACGGCGGCGGAGGTGTTGTCAGATTTCGGAGAAGAGTCGGGTTTGAAGGTGAACGAAGGGAAAACGGTGATCTTCCCGCCGAGGAGAAATCGAGGGAGGCCGGCGCCGCTCAACTCGCGATATAAATGGGCGGATAAGGATGAGCAGGAGCGCCTGCTGGGGATATGGATTACACCGAATGGAGACCCGACCCCATCCTGGAACAAGGCATTGGACAGGGCGAAGGGGGAGTTAACGAAATGGGAAATGAAGCACCTGACGACATCAGCGAGAGTGACAATAATTAACAACTACATCACACCGATCTTCCTCTTCCAAGCGCAGGTCTACTTACCACCGGAGGCCATCTGGAAGAAAATTCACAAGCTGTGTCACACTTTCGTCTCGAAAGGAGAAGCGGTAGAGGAAAAGCGTTTCATCCTCTGGAACTATAAGCTGGTCTGCACGCCTCGGAAGGATGGGGGGCTGGGATTAATCTGTCCTGAGCAGAGAGTCGACAGCATCGCCATCCGGAACGTCTGCCGACTGGTGCTGAAGCCAAGCTTGGTCAAGAAGTGGCTGTCGAAGAAGGCAGCGAAAATGCCCCTGGGGCTGGACACCATCTTCGCCCACAAATCATTGCTGAACCACTGGGAAAAAGGGAGCACCCGTTGGAAGGAGTTAGTCGGGAAATTTTGGGACTCGCCGTTGTGCAGAACACGTGCCCCGACAAATCGTTGGGAGGTGGAGTAGGAACATTTGGCTTTCAATCCGAACATCCCCTTCAGAGGCGCGAGCCCCTTTGGAAACCAGCAGGGAACGAAGGCACTGCTAGGTATACGCATGGGGGACCTGGTCAAGAAATCGTGGGATGGAACGTGCAGCCTCAAGAAGTTGGCGGCCCTGGCAAGGGAGTTGGGGAGCAGAGAAAAGGCGAAGTGGGCACTGAAGGCCTTCAAAGCAGCCCCCTCAGGCTGGCAGGAGATGGTGTTGGCGAAGTCAATGAGCGAAGAGGTGGTGGCCACGGTGAAGCTACTACGGATAGGCGCGGGTAGTGCAGGCGCCTGACGGGCGGGTAGGGCAGGGCCGCGACGGCGGTTGTAGGCAGGGCCGCGACGGCTGCTGCAGGCAGGGCCGCAAAGGCGTCAGGGCAGGGCCGCAAAGGTGGCAGGGGAGGGCCGTGACGGCGGCTGCAGGAAGGGCCGCGACAGCGGCTACAGGGCAGGGCCACGACTGCCGCAGGGAAGGGCCGCGACGGCGGCTGCAGGAAGGGCCGCGACACCGGTTGCAGGGCAGGGCCGCGACTGCAGCAGGGAAGGGCCGCGACGGCGGCTGCAGGAAGGGCCGCGACAGCGGCTGCAAGAAAGGGCCGCGACGGCGGTAGGGCAGGGCCGCGAAGGCGACAGGCAGGGCCGCAACGGCGGCTGTAGGGCAGGGCCACGACAGCGGCAGGGCAGGGCCGCGACGGCTGCAGGCAGGGCCACGACGGCTGCTGCAGGTGTTCGACAGCAGGGCCGTGATGGCAGGGCAGGCGCAAGGGCGCAGTTGAGGCAGGCGCGAGGCGCGCGACAGGGCAGGCAGGCACGAGAGCGTGCTTTGGGCAAGGTTGGAGAAAAAAAAAGATTCGTGGTGGGCCCTAAAAAGAAAAAGAAAACGGTCCCACTAGGGAACCTGCTCTATACCATGTGAGAATAGTACGAGCAAATGAAATGACTAGGAAGCAGGTGGGTACAAGTAGTAAACCTAAAAGTGTTGTACCCCATATTATCCACCCCACTACAGCCTACACAGACTATAGCATATAAGTTTGACAGAAACAGCGAGAGGCGCCTGAGTCCAGGGTGAAAATGTGCAGGGCCTCCTTAGACTCTGCACCTGTACTAGCCGAGTCACAAGCACCTAGACTAGTAGCCTCTACACTACCAGGTGCCTCTACACCCCCAGCACTAGTACCCTGCTACGGCGAGTGTGTCTCAGGCTGCCGCCACTGCTGTCGACGGGGACGAGTAACGCCAGTACCAGCACCTCCAGCACCAGCACGCCAAGCTCCTCCACCAAGACTGCCCCACATGATAGCCCACTCACGGAGCTTGTGGTGAGAGAGTTGCAGGCTGCCACTGCTATTGCTACTGTCGACGGGGACGAGTAACGCCAGCACTAGCACCTCTAGCACCAGCACGCCAAGCTCCTCCACCAGGACTACCCCACTGGATAGCCCACTCGCGGAGCTACTGCGATGAGAGAGGCTCCTGCAGACGAGGCTGCCGCTGGCGTAGGAAAGTGGTAGGGGCCATGGCAGTCAGTAGCAGTAGCGTAGGAGCGGTTGCAGTACTAGTAGCTATAGCATCAGCAGCGTAGGGTGGCAGCAACAGCATAGGGTGGTAGCAGCAGCTCGGGCGGCAGCAGCAGCGTAAGGCGGTAGCAGCAGCTTGGGTGGCAGCAGCAGCATAGGGCGGCAGCAGCAGCTCGGGCGGCAGCAGCAGCGCGAGTGGCGACAGCAGTTCAGTGCGGCGGTAGCAGCGCGGGCGGCAGCAGCAGTAGCAGCTCAGGTAGCAGCGTGGGGCGGCAGCAGCAGCTCAGGCGGTAGCAACAGAGCGGGCGGCGTTGCTAGGTTGTTGTCATTGTACTGTTTGTTCTGTTATAAATCTGCATGTGAATTGGTCTTGTGGCTGCTTGCTTGTGCTCAGAATGTGTGATGATCTTGAGATCCACCCTGAGTTTTGTTTCGCTTTGCTTGTTCTCTTGACTGGTCTTGTGACCCTTTGTTGTCTTGCTATCCCTCACTTAGCCTATGGAGGTGTGTCATACATATCTGTATGTTGTTAGAATCCTAAGCCAAGGTAGGCTTAGGTTTTAGGAAGGAGAAGTGAAAGAAGAGGGTTTCAACTAGTACGCAGGTAGGACACATATAGGAAACCCTAAAAGGGTTGTACTTACTGTTGAGTACCCCACTACAGCCTACACAACAAATAATATTTTGACACACCCCCATAGGCAAAGTGGGGTATAGCCAACAGAACAAGCATTCACAGAACCAGTTCATAGGCAAAGACTGGTGGCAGAAGCAGAGGGCAAGTGAGGAGGAGGAGGAAACTGGAGAGGAGAGGAAGTGGGCGGCCGCTGAAGCTGCTGGCACTGGTCGCAAACGGCGTAACTGGATCTGCTCGCCGGCAAGAGCAACTGACCCTCTAGCGACCGGAGCAATGGGTGACCGGAGTAACTGGCTCGCTCGCCGGCAAGAGCAACTGACACACGGGCCTCTGACGCAACGGTCTCATGGGCGACTAGAGCTGCGGACTTCACGACGGCCAAATGTCCTTACCCCCCTCGGATTGTCCCACCCCCGCGGTGTCACACCCCTCGGCCCTAGCGCCACTCCCCAACCTCACCCACTCCATCCCCCCCTCGGCGGCAGCTGCAGTAGTGGGAGAGAGAGGAGTGGGTGCACGTGACGGCAGCTGCCCCTCCTCCTCACGCACTCCCACCACCCCCATACCCCCCCTTACCCCCGCCACCCCCATACCCTCCACACGGCTGCACGCGCAGCAGGAAGTCAAAGGAGGAGGGGGGAGGGCGGGCGGCGTCACGATGTGCAGGGCGCGGGCGGGCTGTGGGGCGCTCGCAACGGGCAGGGCGCGGGCGGCAGGCGGGTCCAAGAGGGGCGGCGCGCGGGTCCCCAGGGGCGGTGCACAGGTCCAGCAGGGGCGGCGCGCGGGTCCCGCAGGGGCGACGCGACGGGCGACGGGAATCAACGCGCGGGTCCCTGGGGGCGCCACGACAGACGACGGGGGGAGCGCGCATGTCCCCGGGGGCGCCACGACGGGCGACGGGGGGCGGCGCGCGGGTCCCTGGGGACGCCGCGACGGAGCGTATAACCACCGCGCGCGCGCCCGGGGCGCGCGGTGGGCAGGAAACCGCCTCTCGCCCCGAACGCATGTCAGGCAGAAAACCGTCACGCGCGCCGAGCGAGTGGCGGGAAGAAAAAACGTGGCCACGGGGCGCGCGACAGACAGTACAGCAGCGGAAGCAGGTGGGGCCACAGCCCAGGAGCGTAGACGCTCTGATAGCATGTTAGAATCCTAAGCCAAGTTAGGGCTTAGGTTTTAGGAAGGAGAAGTGAAAGAAGAGGGTTTGAACTAGTAGGCAGGTGGGATACATATAGGAAACCTTAAAAGGGTTGCACTCACTTTTAAGTATCCCACTACAGGGTACACAACAAATAACAGCTTGACATATGTTACTCTGGAAGGGTATAGTAATGCTAGCTTGAAATGATAAAACTTTTTTATGGTTGTACTTGTATTGTCTAGTTCCTAATCATTCACCATTCCTGTTTCCTGATTACAACAACAATCATTCTATGGTAAACAACACATATCCAACTTCCAACCCTCCCTAGCTACTGCAAAACCCTGGCAAGTCTGCCAGCTTAATCCCAGTAACAACCCAACAGCCCCCCACAATCAAACAGCCAACTTCTACAGTGCTGGTGGGTAGTGCTGCCACTAATGTCTTCACAGTGCACTCGGTACTACTGGTATCATTCTATATTTTCACTGCAATTCGATATTGTCACTGACTTGTCTCTCCTGTTGTTCCATGTTTACTACACTGCTCTACACAAAGAGCAGTGAGGTGAGCGCAACAGCAAAGGCAGCGGCCACAACACTGACCGGTGAAGCGAGAGAGCCTGGCACGGGGAGAGCGGGTGGAGTGAAGAGTCACATCAGAGCAATAGCGAAGCATTTGTGGAAGCAAGTGAAGGGTGGGAGAAGGGCATGTGATTGTCTGGGAAGGAAGGGGGAGGGTGGGGGGGAACAGGGAAACGAGGGGAAGCAGGGAAACGAGGGATCACAGTTGCAAAAAACGAAAACAGTAATGATCAACCCAAAGCAGAAAACATACCAATAGGCTTAGGTGGTGGCGGTGAGGCAGAAGGGGAGTAGGGAGTTCCGGCTCCACCTCCAGATGCACCTCCGAATAAACCTGCTGATATGCACAAATCAAAACAGGTCGCGACAACAACTCAGGCATGTCGTCAAGCAAAGCGACATTATATAGTTTCAGCAGAGAGACAGCACGTCGTTTGAGCAAAGCGAATGAGTTGTCCATCACTAGCATGTCAGGAGTGGGGCTGATTCAACTAGCAGCTTGACCCCCCCTATTGACCTGTTGGTCGCTGGCATGTAATACAAAAGGTGAAGGTGTCACACTTCCAGCATAAGCCCGCCTGTGCCACTGGGGTTTGGCCGCAGCTAGCGTTGTCAGCAGGACAAGTGACGTCGTTGCCATCAATATTCCTGCGATGGAAGTGGGCAAATTGACGGAGAAAATGCTAATGTGACTCCGCCGTGTACGCATGCATGTGTAACAATGCCCGTGAGATAGTGCCATGGCCATGACATGTGACTCAGCCACGTCTGTTTGGGAAACTTGTGCACAGATTCAGTGAAGCAGTCAAGATACACAATCTCATAGCTATCAACCTCCTGACTTAAAGGTTTGTTATTTTCACTTGAACTTATAATTTATAGATTTGGTGCCTGGGGACATTTGTTGGATGTCCGAACCAATTTTGTTGCAGAAACTATCTCAAACATCCTCGGCTAACGTTGCCTGACTCTTATATTGTGGCGGGAAATATCCATGCGCATCGTAGAGGGAGGGATAATGCAGAGTGCATGCGCACATGGTTTGCAGTCCATAAAGACTCCCAAATGCGGCTGGAATAGGCCCGGTAAGTTGGTTGTACTTCAAATCTCTGCAAAGGTTGAAATTGTGAAGTGCCAGTTGTGTGAGTTACGCAGTAAGGAGAAACACGAAGTGAGTAAGGGATGCAGATAACAATGGAAAAGTGGGGGTGAGTGGGCATACAACTCTACAGGAGTCGCTGCAAACTCCGCACCGCGAGAAATGGTGCGAGGCCATGGACCGAGAACTCGGCGCGTTAGGGGAACGTAATACGCGGAAATTGATTCCCCTAACAACAACATGGTATATGGCAGGTGGGTGTTATGTATGAAGACGAACGTCGATGGTTCTATCGGGCGGTTCAAAGCTTGTTGGGTTATCTACGGCTTTGACCAACTCACGGTCCAAAAACGTTCTTGCCCTTAAGACGCCACACATCTCTTCACATTTTACCAGCCAAACTTTGTTTCTCTACGACGTGATGATCCTAGTTGAGCCGCCCGGCATTGTTGTCAACCCATCTAACGTGTACCGTACATGCAAATCTTCCTTTGGTATTAAACAGGCCCCGTGGCTTTGGCAACATCATCTATATTCTCGTCTCATCCGCATCAGTTTCGACCAATTACCATCCAACCAAGGCATGTATCGCCTTGATCGTGATAAAGACTCCATCCTCCTCAACAGACATCATCACTGAATTTGAAGGGCAGCTTTGTACTGACCTTAGGACTACAACCTCCGCCATAGTCAATCATTTTCTCAAAGTCCATCATCTCCTTCTGTACCGACCTCGTCTACAATGTTTGCACCGTACTTGTCTCCAACGAACCGCGCAAAAATCCACTCCAATGAACCACGAATTAGTTCACCTACCTAGATTGCATAGTATCTGTAACTTCTTGAAGGCGAGAAAATTTTCAGCTATCATGTGTCGTCCCAATCTCTTGCTTCGCGTTTTTTAGGTGACCTGAACTTGAGATTATGGAGGACTGTCGAACTCACCTACAAAGAAACTCCGACTCTGACTCACTAGTACAAATTGGGATGCAGAGTGCATGGGCATTGGAGGAGTGCCAACAGTGATGCGCACATGGCATGCAGCACCCAGTGGGCAGAGCACGAATGTGGAGCAAACCCAGTGTGCATCTTACAACAATTTGAGTGCCGTGAGCGCAGAGATGCTGTCAGGAATGGAGCCCGTGAGACTGTTATAGCTAAGACTCCTGTGTGGGTTGAGTGAGTTGCGCATGATGAGAAGAGAGGACATGGCAGGAAGGAAGAAAGAAAACACGCGTCTTAAATTGAAATGTGGTGAGGAACATGAGGGGTGACATGATCGTAAGCCAATTTTCTTTGAATTTATGACACTCATACTTGTAGTAACATTGTGCATACCTTGCGATGTGCTATGCTAAAAATCAGAGTGCACAGTAGCAATGCATGAGCACACGATGAAGGTGAATGGGGAGTCTCCCAATGAATGCCACAGACATCTAATCCCCTACCTGCTTCAACTCCCTTCCACTTGATCACCAGCACAGCACACCACCTCAACGCAACATGTGACTCGAGCCTGTCCACAGCGGGTGGCTGGAACTGTGAAGGTATAATCAGTTCACAAGGGCTACGGCAAGGCTACTAAAACGGACTGCGATTTTCTAGGTTGACATTGTGTAGTGGCAGTCACGAACTCTTCCAAATCAGCAAAAGCATGAAATTATTGAAGCACAGCAGCAGGGAGGGACACGGAGTGGCAAAGGGATGCAGACAACAGGGGGGGGGGGGGGGGGAGGAGTGGGCATGCAGAGTGCATGGGCAGTGGAGGAGTGCCAGCAGTGATGCGCACATGGCATGCAGCACCTTGTGGGCAGAGCAGCACACAGGTGGAGCAAACCCAGTGTGCCTCTTACAGGTATTCGAGTGCCGTGAGCGCAGAGATGCTGTTGGGAATAGAGCCTGTGAGCTTGGTACTATTAAGGTACCTGTGTGGGGTGAGTGAGTTGGGCGTGGCAGGAGAGAAAGAAAGAAACACACACGTTTTGTATTGGAAGGTGGTGAGGACTGCGAGGGGTGAGATGATGGTGAGCCGACTTTCGTGGGATTGGATGACACTCATACTTGTACTAACATTGTGCATATCTTGCAATGTGATATGCTGAAAATCAGAGTGCACAGTAGCAGTGCATGGTGCACACGATGAAGGTGAATGGGGAGTCTCGCAATGAATGCCACAGACATCTAATCCCCAACCAGCTTCAACTCCATTCCACTTGATCACCAGCACAGCACACCACCTCAACGCAACATGTGACTCGAGCCTGTCCACAGAGAGTGGCCAACATGTGTCGAACATGTGAACTGTGAAGGCATAATCAGTTCAAAAGGGCTAGGGTAGACATGGGCAAACAGCGAGGCGTGTCATACTCGCCTCGTTTTGGGCCTACTCGTTTTTTAAACGAGGCGAGGCGAGTATTTCTCGCCCGAGTAAAAGTATCAATTTCCCTACTCATTACTCGCCCAAACGGGCGGGTTCTTTTTTACTCGCTAGGAGTAAAAAAGTATTCGTGGCGAGGCAAGTAATATTCGCCTCGCCCTAAGAATGAAGTGTTAGAGTAGACTCAGTTGGAGAGCTCCGCGCTATATACTGAAGGCTGGTGCTAGGGTTCGGAGAAGGTAGACTGGAACTACTTCAACGACCATCTGTAAATTGGTGAGGGGGGGTTTGGCTTTGTAGATTCTGAGCAGTGAAGAGTGGTAAGCGGAGGCAAATCGGATGGAAACTTCAGACAAATTTGTTGTGAGGGGTAGTGTCCAAATTTGATGACTGGGTATCGCGTCGAAAGTGCAAATCGCGATCTCATGCGGTCATATTTTCTTTTGGCCTCTAGCATCCGAAGATTTTAATCACGTTGTTACTTACGAGTTTAGTGTCCTATGCAGACTCAGAAGTTCTGCCCCGCGAGTACTTGATGCATACACGAGTAAGAAAAATCTTGCGTGTACGAAATTACTCGCTTAAAAACCAAGTAAAATACAAGTTGTTTTCTACTCGCGGGTATTGCTTGCCTCGCCTCGGACGAGTAAAAATGATTTGGCCTACTCGTTACTCGTAAAAAACGAGTAATTAGAAAGAGGCGGGTTTTTTACTCGCCTCGTTGCCCATGTCTAGGCTAGGGCAAGGCTACTCTAGCGGACTGCGATTTTCTAGGTTGACATTGTGTACTGGCAGTCGCGAACTCTTCCGAAGCAGCAAAAGCATGAAATCATTGAAGCACAGCAGCAGGGAGGAACACGGAGTGGCAAAGGGTTGCAGACGACAAGGGGGGGGGGGGGGGGGGGGGGGGGGGGGGAGGAGTGGGTATGCAGAGTGCATGGGTAGTGGAGGAGTGCCAGCAGTGATGCTCACATGGCGTGTACCCAGTGGGCCGAGCAACATGCAGGTGGAGCCAACCCAGTGTGCCTCTTACAGATTTGTGAGAGCCGTGAGAGCGGATATGCTGTCAGGAAAGGAGCCCGTGAGATTGTTGCATTCAAGAGCCCTGTGCGGGGTGAGTGAGTTGGGCGTGGCAGGAGAGAAAGAAAGAAACACACACGTTTTGTATTGGAAGGGCCGCGAGGGTTGAGATGATGGTGAGCCGACTTTCGTGGGATTGGATGACACTCATACTTGTAGTAACATTGTGCATACCTTCCAATGTGATATGCTAAAAACTAGAGTGCACAGTAGCAGTGCATGGTGCACACGATGAAGGAGAATGAGGAGTCTCGCAATGAATGCCACAGACATCTCTGCCCCAAACAGCTTCAACTCCCTTCCACTTGATCACCAGCACAGCACACCAGTTCAACGCAACATGTGACTCGAGCCTGTCCACAGCGGGTGGCTGGAACTGTGAAGGCATAATCAGTTCGGAAGGGCTAGGGCAAGGCTACTGTGGCGGACTGCAATTTTCTAGGTTGCCATTGTGTAGTGGCAGTCGCTAACTCTTTCGAACAGCAAAAGCATGAAATTATTGAAGCACAGAGGAACGCGGAGTGGCGAAGGGATGCAGACGACAAGGGGGGGGGGGGAGGGGGAGGAGTGGGGCATGCAGAGTGCATGGGCAATGGAGGAGTGCCAGCAATGAGCACATGGCATGCAACACTCAGTGGGCAGAGCAGCATGCAGGTGGAGCAAGCCCAGTGTACCACTTACAGGAATTCGAGTGCCTTTAGCGCAGAGATACTCTCGGGAATGGAGCCTGTGAGATTGTTTGTGAAAAGATCCCTGTGTGGGGTGAGTGAGTTGCGCGTGGTAAGATGAGAAGCTCGACAGAGGGTGGAGGAAACCTGGAAGGCATGAAAAGTTTAGAAGGGCTAGAGCAAGGCCAATGAAAGTTGAGATTTTGTTGTGGCAACTGTGAATTCTACTGCACACGTGGATTTCATGAAGCGCGAAAAAGGTTGATGTGGCAAGGACAATCGAGGAGTTGGAAAGCGATGCAGACAGCAAAGGGTGGCAGGAGTGGGCATGCAGAGTGCATGGGCAGTGGAGGAGTGCCGGCAGTGATGCGCTCATGGCATGCAGCACCCAGTGAGAAGAGCAGCACGAAGGTGGAGAAAACCCAGTGTGCCTCATACAGGTATGTAAGTGCCGTGAGGGCAGAGATACTGTCGGGAATGGAGCCCGTGAGATTGTTGATGCCAAGATCCCTGTATGGGATGAGTGAGTTGCGCGTGGAAACATGAGAGGCTCAAATGCTTGTCTACAGAGGGTGGCGGGAACCTAGAAGGCATGATAGATTCAGAAGGGCTAGAGCCACGCGATTGTAGAGGTTTGCGATTGTGAAGGTAGAGATTGTGTAGTGGCAACTGTGAGATCTACTAAGCAAGGCACACGTGAACACAGTGAAGCGAGACCACAAGGTTTGTGTAGACAGAAGAGGGGGTGAGGAGTGGGCATGCAGAGTGCATGGGCAATGGAGGAGTGCCGGCAGTGATGCGCACATGGCATGCAGCACCCAGTGGGCAGAGCAGCATGCAGGTGGAGCAAGCCCATTGTACCACTTACAGGAATCTGAGAGCCTTCAGCACAGAGCTACTGTCAGGAATAGAACCCGTGAGATTGTTGCTCCAAAGACCCCTGTGTGGGGTGAGTAAGTTGCGCGCGGTAAGACGAGAGGCTCAAACTTGTCTACAGAAGGTGGTGGGAACCTGGAAGGCATGATAGATTCAGAAGGGCTAGAGCCAGGCAATTGTAGAGGTGTGTGATTGTGAAGGTAGAGATTGTGTAGTGGGATCTGTGAGTTCTACTAAGCAAGGCACACGTGAACACAGTGAAGCAAGACCACAAGGTTGGTGCAGCAGAGACGATCGAGGAGTGGCAACGCGATGCAGACAGAAGAAGGGGGGAGGAGTGGGCATGCAGAGTGCATGGGCGGTGGAGGAGTGTTGACAGTGTTGCGCACATGGCATACAGCACCCAGTGCGCAGAGTAGCACGCAGGTGGAGCAAACCCGCTCTGCCTCTTACAGCCATGTGAGTGCCTTCAGCGCGGAGATGTTGTCGGGAATGGAGCCCGTGAGATTGTTGCTGCCAAGTTGCCTGTGTCGGGTGAGTGAGTTGCGCGTGGTGAGACGAGAGGCTCAAATGCTTGTCTACAGAGGGTGGCAGGAACCTGGAAGGCATGATAGATTCAGAAGGGCTAGAGCCAGGCAATTGTAGAGGTTTGTGATTGTGAAGGTAGAGATTGTGTAGTGGCAACTGTGAGTTCTACTAAGCAAGGCACACGTGAACTCAATGAAGAGAGACCACAAGGTTGGAGCAGCAGAGACGATCGAGGAGTGGCAACGCGATGCAGACAGAAGAAGGGGAGAGGAGTGGGCCAGCAGAGTGCATGGGCAGTGGAGGAGTCCCGACAGTGATGCGCACATGGCATGCAGCATCCAGTGGGCAGAGCTGCACGCAGGTGGAGCAAACCCATTCTGCCTCTTACAGGAATTCGAGTGCCGTGAGTGCAGAGATGCTGTCGGGAATGGAGCCTATGAGATTGTTGCTGCCAAGATCTCTGTGTGGGGTGAGTGAGCTGCGTGTGGTAAGACGAGAGGCCTAAATGCTTGTCTACAGAGGGTGGCGGGAACCTGGAAGGCATGATAGATTCAGAAGGGCTAGAGCCAGGCAATTGTAGAGGTTTGTGATTGTGAAGGTAGAGATTGTGTAGTGGCAACTGTGAGTTCTACTAAGCAAGGCACACGTGAACTCAATGGAGAGAGACCACAAGGTTGGAGCAGCAGAGATGATCGAGGTGTGGCAATGCGATGCAGACAAAAGAAGGGGGGAGGATTGGGCAGCAGAGTGCATGGGCAGTGGAGGCGTGCCGGCAGAGATGCGCACATGGCATGCAGCACCCATTGGACAGAGCAACACGCAGGTGGTGCAAACCCAGTGTGCCTCTTACAAGTATTCGAGTGCCGTGAGCGCAGAGATGCTGTCGGGAATGGAGCCTGTGAGATTGTTGCCCCAAAGATTCCTGTATGGGGTGAGTGAGCTGCGCGTGGTGAGACGAGAGGCTCAAATGCTTGTCTACAGAGGGTGGCGGGAACCTGGAAGGCATGATAGATTCAGAAGGGCTCTCGCTAGGAAATTGTAGAGGTTTGTGATTGTGAAGGTAGAGATTGTGTAGTGGCAACTGTGAGATCTACTAAGCAAGGCACACGTGAACAAAATGAAGCGAGACCACAAGGTTTGTGCAGACAGAAGAGGGGGGGAGGAGTGGGCATGCAAAGTGCATGGGCAGTGGAGGAGTGCCAACAGTGATGCACACATGGCATGCAGCACCCAGTGGGCAGAGCAGCACGCAGGTGGAGCAAGCCTAGTATGCCTCTTACAGCTGTTTGAGTAGTGTGAGCACAGAAATGCTGTCGGGAATAGGACCCGTGAGGCTGTTGCCGCTAGTAACACCCCTGTGTGGGGTGAGTGAAATCGTGGTGAGACGAGAGGCTCAAATGCTTGACTACAGAGGGTGGCAGGAACCTGGAAGGCATGATACATTCAGGAGGGCTAGAGCCAGGCAGTTGTAGAGGTTTGTGATTGTGAAGGTAGAGATTGTGTAGTGGCATCTGTGAGTTCTACTAAGCAAGGCACACGTGAACTCAATGAAGAGAGACCACAAGGTTGGAGCAGCAGAGACGATCGAGGTGTGGCAATGCGATGCAGACAAAAGAAGGGGGAAGGATTGGGCAGCAGAGTGCATGGGCAGTGGAGGCGTGCCGGCAGAGATGCGCACATGGCATGCAGCACCCATTGGACAGAGCAACACGCAGGTGGTGCAAACCCAGTGTGCCTCTTACAAGTATTCGAGTGCCGTGAGCGCAGAGATGCTGTCGGGAATGGAGCCTGTGAGATTGTTGCCCCAAAGATTCCTGTATGGGGTGAGTGAGCTGCGCGTGGTGAGACGAGAGGCTCAAATGCTTGTCTACAGAGGGTGGCGGGAACCTGGAAGGCATGATAGATTCAGAAGGGCTCTCGCTAGGCAATTGTAGAGGTTTGTGATTGTGAACGTAGAGATTGTGTAGTGGCAACTGTGAGTTCTACTAAGCAAGGCACACGTGAACTCAATGAAGAGAGACCACAAGGTTGGAGCAGCAGAGACGATCGAGGAGTGGCAACGCGATGCAGACAGAAGAAGGGGGGAGGAGTGGGCATGCAGAGTGCATGGGCGGTGGAGGAGTGTTGACAGTGTTGCGCACATGGCATGCAGCACCCAGTGCGCAGAGTAGCACGCAGGTGGAGCAAACCCGCTCTGCCTCTTACAGCCATGTGAGTGCCTTCAGCGCGGAGATGTTGTCGGGAATGGAGCCCGTGAGATTGTTGATGCCAAGATCCCTGTATGGGGTGAGTGAGCTGCGCGTGGTAAGACGGGAGGCCTAAATGCTTGTCTACAGGAGGTGGTGGGAACCTGGAAGGCATGATAGATTCAGAAGGGCTAGAGCTAGGCAATTGTAGAGGTTTGTGATTGTGAAGGTAGAGATTGTGTAGTGGCAACTGTGAGTTCTACTAAGCAAGGCACATGTGAACAAAATGAAGCGAGACCACAAGGTTTGTGCAGACAGAAGAGGGGGGGAGGAGTGGGCATGCAAAGTGCATGGGCAGTGGAGGAGTGCCAACAGTGATGCACACATGGCATGCAGCACCCAGTGGGCAGAGCAGCACGCAGGTGGAGCAAGCCCAGTATGCCTCTTACAGCTGTTTGAGTAGTGTGAGCACAGAAATGCTGTCGGGAATAGGACCCGTGAGGCTGTTGCCGCTAGTAACACCCCTGTGAGGGGTGAGTGAAATCGTGGTGACACGAGAGGCTCAAATGCTTGACTACAGAGGGTGGCGGGAACCTGGAAGGCATGATACATTCAGGAGGGCTAGAGCCAGGCAGTTGTAGAGGTTTGTGATTGTGAAGGTAGAGATTGTGTAGTGGCATCTGTGAGTTCTACTAAGCAAGGCACACGTGAACTCAATGAAGAGAGACCACAAGGTTGGAGCAGCAGAGACGATCGAGGTGTGGCAATGCGATGCAGACAAAAGAAGGGGGGAGGATTGGGCAGCAGAGTGCATGGGCAGTGGAGGCGTGCCGGCAGAGATGCGCACATGGCATGCAGCACCCATTGGACAGAGCAACACGCAGGTGGTGCAAACCCAGTGTGCCTCTTACAAGTATTCGAGTGCCGTGAGCGCAGAGATGCTGTCGGGAATGGAGCCTGTGAGATTGTTGCCCCAAAGTTTCCTGTATGGGGTGAGTGAGCTGCGCGTGGTGAGACGAGAGGCTCAAATGCTTGTCTACAGAGGGTGGCGGGAACCTGGAAGGCATGATAGATTCAGAAGGGCTCTCGCTAGGCAATTGTAGAGGTTTGTGATTGTGAACGTAGAGATTGTGTAGTGGCAACTGTGAGTTCTACTAAGCAAGGCACACGTGAACTCAATGAAGAGAGACCACAAGGTTGGAGCAGCAGAGACGATCGAGGAGTGGCAACGCGATGCAGACAGAAGAAGGGGGGAGGAGTGGGCATGCAGAGTGCATGGGCGGTGGAGGAGTGTTGACAGTGTTGCGCACATGGCATGCAGCACCCAGTGCGCAGAGTAGCACGCAGGTGGAGCAAACCCGCTCTGCCTCTTACAGCCATGTGAGTGCCTTCAGCGCGGAGATGTTGTCGGGAATGGAGCCCGTGAGATTGTTGCTGCCAAGATCCCTGTATGGGGTGAGTGAGCTGCGCGTGGTAAGACGGGAGGCCTAAATGCTTGTCTACAGAAGGTGGTGGGAACCTGGAAGGCATGATAGATTCAGAAGGGCTAGAGCCAGGCAGTTGTAGAGGTTTGTGATTGTGAAGGTAGAGATTGTGTAGTGGCAACTGTGAGTTCTACTAAGCAAGGCACACGTGAACTCAATGGAGAGAGACCACAAGGTTGGAGCAGCAGAGATGATCGAGGTGTGGCAATGCGATGCAGACAAAAGAAGGGGGGAGGATTGGGCAGCAGAGTGCATGGGCAGTGGAGGCGTGCCGGCAGAGATGCGCACATGGCATGCAGCACCCATTGGACAGAGCAACACGCAGGTGGTGCAAACCCAGTGTGCCTCTTACAAGTATTCGAGTGCCGTGAGCGCAGAGATGCTGTCGGGAATGGAGCCTGTGAGATTGTTGCCCCAAAGATTCCTGTATGGGGTGAGTGAGCTGCGCGTGGTGAGACGAGAGGCTCAAATGCTTGTCTACAGAGGGTGGCGGGAACCTGGAAGGCATGATAGATTCAGAAGGGCTCTCGCTAGGAAATTGTAGAGGTTTGTGATTGTGAAGGTAGAGATTGTGTAGTGGCAACTGTGAGTTCTACTAAGCAAGGCGCACGTGAACTCGATGAAGAGAGACCACAAGGTTGGAGCAGCAGAGACGATCGAGGAGTGGCAACATGATGCAGACAGAAGAAGGGGGGAGGAGAGGGCATGCAGAGTGCATGGGCAGTGGAAGATTGCCGACAGTGATACGCACATGAGATGCAGCACCCAGTGGGCAGAGCGGCACGCAGGTGGAGCAAACCCAATGTGCCTCTTACAGCCTTGTGAGTGCCGTGAGTGCAAAGATGCTGTTGGGAATGGAGCCCGTGAGACTGTTATAGCTAAGACTCCTGTGTGGGGTTGAGTGAGTTGCGCGAGGTAGGACGAGAGGCTCGAATGTTTGGCTGCAGAGGGTGGCGGGAACCTGGAAGGCATGATAGATTCAGAAGGTCTAGAGCCAGGCAATTGTAGAGGTTTGGGATTGTGAAGGTAGAGATTGTGTAGTGGCAACTGTGAGTTCTACTAAGCAAGGCACACGTGAACAAAATGAAACGAGACCACAAGGTTTGTGCAGACAGAAAGGGGGGAGGAGTGGGCATGCAAAGTGCATGGGCAATGGAGGAGTGCCAACAGTGATGCACACATGGCATGCAGCACCCAGTGGGCAGAGCAGCACGCAGGTGGAGCAAGCCCAGTATGCCTCTTACAGCTGTTTGAGTAGTGTGAGCACAGAAATGCTGTCGGGAATAGGACCCGTGAGGCTGTTGCCGCTAGTAACACCCCTGTGTGGGGTGAGTGAAATCGTGGTGAGACGAGAGGCTCAAATGCTTGACTACAGAGGGTGGCAGGAACCTGGAAGGCATGATACATTCAGGAGGGCTAGAGCCAGGCAGTTGTAGAGGTTTGTGATTGTGAAGGTAGAGATTGTGTAGTGGCATCTGTGAGTTCTACTAAGCAAGGCACACGTGAACTCAATGAAGAGAGACCACAAGGTTGGAGCAGCAGAGACGATCGAGGTGTGGCAATGCGATGCAGACAAAAGAAGGGGGGAGGATTGGGCAGCAGAGTGCATGGGCAGTGGAGGCGTGCCGGCAGAGATGCGCACATGGCATGCAGCACCCATTGGACAGAGCAACACGCAGGTGGTGCAAACCCAGTGTGCCTCTTACAAGTATTCGAGTGCCGTGAGCGCAGAGATGCTGTCGGGAATGGAGCCTGTGAGATTGTTGCCCCAAAGATTCCTGTATGGGGTGAGTGAGCTGCGCGTGGTGAGACGAGAGGCTCAAATGCTTGTCTACAGAGGGTGGCGGGAACCTGGAAGGCATGATAGATTCAGAAGGGCTCTCGCTAGGCAATTGTAGAGGTTTGTGATTGTGAACGTAGAGATTGTGTAGTGGCAACTGTGAGTTCTACTAAGCAAGGCACACGTGAACTCAATGAAGAGAGACCACAAGGTTGGAGCAGCAGAGACGATCGAGGAGTGGCAACGCGATTGCAGACAGAAGAAGGGGGGAGGAGTGGGCATGCAGATTGCATGGGCAGTGGAGGAGTGCCGACAGCGATGTCTGGCGTGGGGAATTAATAGCATCAGGGGAGGAACCTGGAGCAATGGAAGCAGCTGTAATGGGAGAAGTAGATCACGGAGGGAGAGAGAGGTGGGAGAGGTCGGTTTCGGAGCTGAGGGAAGCATCTGCGGCAGGCAGCAGATGGTGTGTCGTGGAAGAAGCGCCTTTCCATCGAAGATACCAACGCGTGCACTCACATCCAGGTGATCATGCCTGAAGCGTCGCACATGATGCCTGCCACAGTGCTGCAATTGTCTCCCACCTTCCACCCCATGCCCCATTCCGTCTGGACGTCGCTGAGAAACAACCCTGACGTGTTGGGGCGAGGAGAGGGCATAAGAAAAGTCGCGGAAGGAAACGAGTGACATGAGCACTCATGAATAGCATGCGTGCATAAGCTGCGAGGCGGGCGTCGGAAGGAAAGGGGAGAGGAGGGAGTTGGGAAGGGGGGGAGGAAGGAGGGAGGGAGTGGGGGAGGGAGGGGGGAGGGAGGGAGTAGGAGAGGGAAGGAGGGAGGGAGTGGGAGAGGGAGGGAGGAGGGAGGGAGGGAGTGGGTGAGGGAGGGGGGGGGAGGAGGGAGTGGGAGAGGGAGGGAGTGTGGGAGGGAGGGAGGAGGGAGGGAGGGAGTGGGGGAGGGAGGGAGTGGGGAAGGGAGGGGGTAGGGGAGGGAGGGAGTGGGGGAAGGAGGGGGTGGGAAGGAGGAAGTGGAGGAAGGAGGGAGGAGGGAGGGAGGGAGTGGGAGAGGAAGGGAGGAGTGTTGGAGGGAATTTGGGAGTGAGGAGGAGGGAGGGAGCCACGTGAGTACTCCCTTAGGAGGGGAGGAATGGAGGGAGAGGTAACACTACTTCTACTGCCTCCCTAGTCGGGTATCGCTGAGCCATTAGTACTGTCACAGGGTGGAGGGTGGGTGGGACGGTGGGCGGTACTAGTATTACTACCTTGAGAAGCATTTATCACTTGCGCGTGGCACGACGAGACGTTGAAGGCGACAAGCCAGAGCGCCATGGCGAGCGCTGGGGAGAGCGCGGCGGGGAGCGCCACCTTCAAGGCAGAAAGCTGGTGGCATCGCTGGTGCTTCATCGCAGGCAGCCGGGGGAAATAGCGGCTTGGCGCCGGACGCCTTGAGAACCCTTGACTCGTCAATCTCTTAAAACCTCGAGCAGGCGGCTACTAGTAGTACTAGTAAGGTGTGACAATGGATCTGAGACACAGGGGGAGAGAAACACGTGTGAATGCAAGCATTCACAGCCCGACCTGCTGCTGGGAAGAAGGTGAGACAACGGATCTGAGACACAGGGGGAGAGAAACAGGTGAGAGCGCGCTGGATCCGGGCGTTCATTCGCCATGCTCTCACGGCGCGCCAAGCGTGAGAGCGCGCTGGAACAGGGCGTTCATTCGCCATGCTCTCACGCCTTGGCGCCAAGCGTGAGAGCGCGCTGGAACAGGGCGTTCATTCGCCATGCTCTCACGCCTTGGCGCCAAGCGTGAGAGCGCGCTGGATCAGGGCGTTCATTCGCCATGCTCTCATGCATTGGCGCCAAGCGTTAGAGCGCGCTGGATCAGGACGTTCATTCGCCATGCTCTCATGCATTGGCGCCAAGCGTTAGAGCGCGCTGGATCAGGACGTTCATCGCCATGCTCTCACGCCTTGGCGCCAAGTGTTAGAGCGCGCTGGATCCGGGCGTTCATTCGCCATGCTCTCACGGCGCGCCAAGCGTGAGAGCGCGCTGGATCAGGGCGTTCATTCGCCATGCTCTCACGCCTTGGCGCCAAGCGTTAGAGCGCGCTGGATCAGGACGTTCATCGCCATGCTCTCACGCCTTGGCGCCAAGTGTTAGAGCGCGCTGGATCCGGGCGTTCATCGCCATGCTCTTACGACTTGGCGCCAAGCGTGAGAGAATGCTTGGCATGATGCGGCCAACACGACCTTGAGCGGAGTCACCATTTCCCTACTGGATTTAGGTGGCAGGGCTTACCTTGGAAAGTGGGGTGAGAGTTGGATTCCCATCTCAAACGCGCTATGATTTACAAGGAGCTAATCGATCAAGAGAAGGAAATACGAGTGCCTGGAGAGTTTTTCCTCTGTTGCACGTTCTATACATTCAATTAGAAGACAAACAGCTCATATCTGTGAATGTAGACAACAGATTATTGGTGGAAACACCTGGCACTGTACCTTGGAAAGTGGGGTGAGAGTTGGATTCCCGTCTCAAACGCGCTACGATTTACGAGCTAATCGATCAAGAGAAGGAAATACAGTGCCTGGAGAGTTTTTCCTCTGTTGCACGTTCTATACATTCAATTAGAAGACAAACAGCTCATATCTGTGAATGTAGACAACAGATTATTCGTGGAAACACCTGGCACTGTACCTTGGAAAGTGGGGTGAAGTTGGATTCCCGTCTCAAACGCGCTACGATTTACGAGCTTATCGATCAAGAGAAGGAAATACAGTGCCTGGAGAGTTTTTCCTCTGTTGCACGTTCTATACATTCAATTAGAAGACAAACAGCTCATACCTGTGAATGTAGACAACAGATTATTGGTGGAAACACCTGGCACTATTTGGACATAGTGTGCATGCATATGTGCCTGATAGTATAAGATCTTGAATGTTGGCTCTGTTCTGTAGGCACATGCGCCGGGGGGGGGGGGGAGGAGGGCTGGCGAAGGTAAATGACGTGGGTTCCCACGCAGTTTCCCCAGTCGATATCACCCCCTTCCTGCTACAACCGTGAACGAGAAATTTCGTCATCAAGGGCGGAAGTCGCTGACGGTAGATGACGAGGTTACGTCAGTGTTGGCCAGCACATGCAAATTTGAAAAAAAAAATGACGGCATTGGAATCGCCATGGCATCGGGAAGCGAGGCCGGAACCCTCCGAGGAGGTTTGGGCGAAAGCCACCCGCGAAATTTCCCGCCTCGAAATGGGAAACGTGACAACCGCATATGGAACCTGCCTCCCCACCTTCCCCTAACTGGCCCAAACAGTCAATGACGTTGCCATCCCACTGCAGTCCTCCGTGAAATGGTGGATTGCCATGGGATGGCATGGGACTCTTGTTTGCCCAGGGAGGAAATTACTTCCCCATTTCCGAATGCCATGATGCCGTCCGAAATTTGAGAAAAGTGAGGGCGTTCGCCAGGCACCAAAGATTCCATTTGGTTGGACAGTATGAGAGGCTCGGCAGCATTTTTACGGGCTGACCAGCCTCACGGAGCTTAACGAACCCTAGCTGACGGGATGAGGAAGGCGGGGCTGACCTTCCTGATCCCGTCGTTTCTCGTCATTTTTGCTTTCAAAGGTGCTAGCGAACACCGCCTACATGCTCAATTTCGCGCCAGAGCGTGTGCTCATTTTGCACACGAAGGTTCGTTTTTCGGACCGTCCGTTCGATATGCTCGAGTGTCTGGTCTGAAATACCTCTGCTCCTGTGGGTTGAAGTCAGTGGCGCAAGGGTTGTGAGGCGAAGCCTCCCGATTGGTCAGCAAAATCACCCACCGAATAACCGAAGCCATCACTGTATCCGCGGTGGCAATATATACATTCCGCACTGGGTAACGACAAATGGAACCTTGTATGTAGGTTGGCAAATAAAACTTTAGGCCTATCAAAATTAACAAAGGCTAGAACGTTGGTTTGTAAGCAAGGGAATGGGGTGCGCAGGCTACATGACCCTCTATTATCATCTACATTAATCTTCATCACATGACACATTAACGTAACCACCGGAAGCATCAACAGGTGAGTGTAATGGAAGAAAGAAAGCCAGCATACGGGGAGAGTCACTGGGGCAGCGAAGCATCGAGGGCACATGGTCTGCTGTGCTTGCCACCAAGAGATGTCTACCAGCGTCATTCTGAGATTACAACGTAGTCAATGAGCAAAAACCAAAGGCTGGTGGCAAAGCTACGCATGTTTACACAAACAGATCTACACTGGTGCTTAGGAGCTCCGCTGGTTGTCGCTCTTTCTCACTAACTTAGGTGGGTCGCCTAGCTCTTCACTAGTCCTGTTTACTGATCACATGGCCATGATCCTCCTATGTCAAGAGCCTAGAGTGGAGGGTCGAGCGAAGCACATTCAGCTATGGTACTTCGTATTACATGAGTTGCAGCCGCACGGCCAGGCACCCGTAGTACACTTAGCCTTAGGGGCCAACATCACTGATATCTTCACTGAGGCACTCCTGCCTAATGATCATCAGCGGTTCTGCACATAGCTTGGCCTTGTCTTACCGAGACACCGCTTATTAGGATCTTGATCTCTGTATAATATAGTTGATTTGACTTTGTCTGGTTATACTCATTGACTGGCCTTGTGTCCCTTTGTCTCAGAGGTTGGGCTAGTAGTACCGCCCAAGGTTGTACCGATGCACAGGTCGGTATCTCCCAGTCCCAAAAAAAAGAGCAAGTATAGTGAAAGGATATGCAAGTTATATACGAGTGCATTGCGGAGAGTCACTCTAGAACGGTAGTGAGCTAGACTATGGGGGTTGGCACAAACTACTAGGAATGATAATAGCTTTGCTTAGTTCACGGGAGAAATCGGCAAGAGTTTCCACTAGCAAAGTGGAAATTACAGAATGATTCAACAAGAAATGACAACAATGTCTACATTAGGCACCTAGCAACTCTGCATCTAGCTTGGTCGACTGCCAGCACAGCTTGGTCGACTGCCTGCCAGCGTTGCGTAGAGGAGCCGCTCCAGCACTACAGAAGGGCGACCTGCCAACAGAGCAGGTCGATGGCGTGCCAACACTGCAGCAGAGCGGCTGTCCAGCGTTGCCCCGTAGAAGACAGCAGTGCGCATGCTCGCAAGTGCGCGTAGACAATTGGCCCGACTTGCATCGTTGTGCATCCGTCGGCTGTTGTCTGCACCTGACAAGCCACATCGGCTTCAGGATACCAGCCCGAAGAGACAGGACTCGAGAGCTTATGGTCAACAGTAAGAGGAGTGGGTTGTGTAGAGGACCGAAGGCTGAATCGCTCAAGGATCTGTTGCACCATGTGTGACTGAGTCAGATTGATGGTGCGCGCTGCTCTGTCCCTAGTGATCCACAAGCCAAGATCATAGTGCAGCTCACCTAGGTCAGTGCAAGTTTGTCTCTTCAGCAGACCGGCCTTCGTTAATGCAAAAACCAGGTCATCAACGTAGACAAGAATATAGAACAGAGTCTCACTAGCACGAACGAAAGGAGAAGGATCGGCAGAAGACGAGAAGAAGCACCGCGATGTGCATTAGTACCCAAAGAGTGGCTATCTTCAGGGTGGGGGAGAAGGTATGAAAGAAGTCAACCCCCTCTCATTGACTGAAGCCTCTTGCCACATAGCGCACGTTAGAGGTAGGCGGCACTCCAGGTGGCCACTTCACCTTGAAGACCTACATTCCGTCAACAACGTTCGCCCCAAGTGGGGGAACTGCATCAACGTAAGTGCATGTGAACCTCCAATATGCCATCTCTGTGTCCATGACCACTATCCACTAATAGGCCCAACGTCCTGAGACTACCTTAGCATAGGTGCAAGGGGTCGAGATGTCAAGAGCGTCTGGGTCACCCTTAGGGGCTAGCAGCAAGGAAAGCCAGCTCAAATGGCCTATCCTCTAGGACGTCACTGTCAAGGGTAGGAGCACCCCCGATGAATGGAGGATGGGCAGGAGCATACACCGAGTGGCATAGTCAAGGCAGTGGGTGGAGGCAAAGTTGGTGATAGAAGTGATAAGATCCAAGGTAGACGAGGGAGAAGCAGTAGGTCAGTAACTAAGGCGGAAAGGACACGGGCGAGCAACATGGAGAAAGACTGGGAATGGGGGAAGAGAGACAGTAAGGGACGACTGGGGAGGTAACGGTATAAAAGGAGGCAAAACACGAGGGGGAAGAGAACAGAGGCTCATAGAGTAAAAACCGGGAACAGGAGACGAGGGACAAATCCGAGGGGCTCGATAGGGCCAGGGGAAAGAGACAAGAGACAGGCCAGGAAGGGAAGGAGGAGAAAGTCGTTGCCCGTCAGCCCCAAGTCCTGAGCGGCCGTGATGGTCGCCTTGTTGTCCACTCGGACAACAGTCGGCTTCCCAGCATCGAGCTGCTTGAACTCTGCAAGGAGGAAGTGAAGTCGACGCCCCTTCTTGCTGGCGTCCATGACAGCGTCTCGTAAAAGGTCACCTCGACCAATGTGACCACCTTATTGTTTGTCAGGTCGCGCACCCCCTAGCCCTTGCTCTGCGACGACACACCTAGATGAAGCCCCCAGTGAGCTTTCAGCACCAGCTTCCCACCGCACTAATGCTCAGGAACCAGGAACTGCACCATGCACCCCCACACCCGCGCCATTGTGAGGTCGGGCTTCTTTCCGGTCAGCAACTGTTACGGAGTCGTCCCTGGCGTCGTCGTCGACCGCTCCAAGCAGTTGCGCACCCAGACAGCTTGTCATAGAGCGAGGTGCCACCAGTGGTGCTGCACGCCCATGTGCAGCAGCATTGTCCGCACGGACTTGACGACCGTGCGCTTTTCCTGCTCAGCCATGCCGTTTTGCTGCGGAGTGTAAGGGCACGTGAGGTCGTGGACAATGCCCTTCATGTCGACGAAGTAGGTGAACTCCTTCCCAAGGAACTCCCCTCCCCGGTCTGAGCGAAGCGACAGCACCGACTTCTTCGTCTGCCGTTCCACCAACACCAGCCACCTCTGGAACTCCCATTGCACACCGCTCTTCTTTGTGACCGGCATTGCCCACACAAACCGAGTATGGCGATCCTTTAGCAGCAGAAATTTCAAGCTGCCATCCTTGGCAGCCACCCGAAATGGCCCGCACAAGTCAATGTGCACGACAGCCAGTGCCTCCTTAGCGTCCGAGCCCTTGCTGGGGAAGGTGTGTCACGCCAGCTTTCCTCTAATGCACGAGACAGACGGCAGGTCTGCTCTGGTCAACGGCTGGATGTCGAGCCGAGTAGCAACTTCATGCTTCGCTGAGCTCTTGATCGTGTCGACGCCGACGTGCCCGAGCCTGTCG